GGCGACGGAGGGGGAGGAGGCGGCCCACCTGGCCGAGCTGCCCGAGCCGCTGCTGCTGCGCGTGCTGGCCGAGCTGCCGGCCGCCGAGCTGGTGCAGGCCTGCCGCCTGGTGTGCCTGCGCTGGAAGGAGCTGGTGGACGGCGCCCCCCTGTGGCTGCTCAAGTGCCAGCAGGAGGGGCTGGTGCCCGAGGGCGGCGCCGAGGACGAGCGCGACCACTGGCAGCAGTTTTACTTCCTGAGCAAGTGGCGGCGCAACCTGCTCCGCAACCCATGCGGCCAAGGTGGGTGGCCCGCGCCGGGGGTGCTCAGCGTCTCCTTCTGGACAGTGGGCCCTGACAGTGCCAGCCTGCTTCGAGGGTTCAATGAGATCAAGCGCTTGGCTCAGTGCCCAGCTCAGGGTAGCTCCAATAAATACAGTCTATTTCTGTATCTCGCCGGCCTTCTGCTCCCTGGGGGTCTCTTTCCCGGGTCCTCCTACCCTCAGTGACCTGGAGCAGGACTGGCCACGTGGACAACCCCCCCGGCGGGAGGATCAAGTGCCCACCCTTGCGCCCCACCATCACCTGCCCACCCAACACCATTAGAGTACCACGTTCGACCTGCCCCCACTGTCGTGGCAAGAGCCAACCCTGTCACAGCCTCGGTAGGGGACTGGGTGACCAGGGTGGGGCTGTCGTGTCCCTACAGAGGACTTGGAAGGCTGGTGCGACGTGGAGCACGGCGGGGACGGCTGGAGGGTGGAGGAGTTGCCTGGAGACTGTGGGGCTGAATTCACCCACGATGAGAGCGTCAAGAAGTTCTTCGCCTCCTCCTTCGAGTAAGGAGAAGGGGTGTGGAGGCGGGAGGGGGGCGTCCACACCGTCCTGACTCCACTTCTCCCAGGTGGTGTCGCAAAGCGCAGGTCATCGACCTGCAGGCCGAGGGCTACTGGGAGGAGCTGCTGGACACGACTCAGCCGGCCATCGTGGTGAAGGACTGGTGCGAGCGTGGGGCGTGAAGGGGGTGGGGTGGGACGTGGGGGTGCTGCCTCCCTGATCTGGTGGCCGTGGCCACGTGGGCCACAGGTCTGCAAGGGTTGACAGCCTCCCAGATTTCTGGAGAAGGTGGAAATCCACCTCCCCTCCTGAGTTTTAAATGTTAGCAAGTGTGTGTGTGCGTGTGTGCGTGTGTTTAAATCAGTCTGCAGTCCAAACAAAACGTGTTTCTGTGGGCTGGCTTTTGGCCCCAAGTTTGGGTCTGGCTGACCTGGGGTTTAAGTCCTTGTATTTGGATCTTGGACAACTCACTTTCTCTCTCTGGCCTTGGTTTTCTTTTCTGTAAAACGGGACACTGGCAGGGATGTGGGCGTGAATGAGAACGTTTGTAGAAGGCCCGGCCCCTAGGGGGCGCCCTGCAGGGCTGAGGCCGAGCCCGGCGCTTCCTCCCGCAGGTACTCGGGCCGCAGCGACGCCGGCTGCCTGTACGAGCTCACCGTGAAGCTACTTTCGGAGCACGAAGACGTGCTGGCTGAGTTCAACACCGGGCAGGTGGCAGTGCCCCAAGACAACGACGACGGGGGCTGGATCGAGGTGAGCTTGGAGGGGCCGGGG